GGCTGTGTTGGGTCTTCGTTTCTGTGCAAGGGCTTTCTCTAGTTGCGGCAAGCGGGGGCCACTCTTCATCGCAGTGCACGGGCCTCTCACTATCGTGACCTCTCTTGTTGCGGAGCACAGGCTCCAGACACGCAGGCTCAGTAGTTGTGGCTCACGGGCCTAGTTGCTTCGCAGCATGTGGGATCTTCTCAGACCAGGGCTCGAACCCGTGTCCCCTGCATTGGCAGGCAGGTTCTCAACCACTGCGCCTCCAGGGAAGCCCCCACACATAGTTTTTTAACTTAAAAAATTAGCTTCCAGTGTCTTAAAAGTGATCATATTTTACATCAAAACGCAGATTTCTGGCTTCTCTGAAAAATCAGAAATACCATATTTCACTATCGGACACATATTTTTTCATATTTTTGTACTACTGAAATATGATGGTGTGATGTAATTGGCAGCATCTTGTCTTTCTTAATGGTACATAAAATAAGGATGTTACTTTCAATTAACAGAGTTTTCATAGTTGGAGAAACGTGATATTAGGGTAACTCTTGTCCCAAGTCCACCTGCCAACAGTTTTCTAGAACCAAGTAGAGGTTATCCTCTTTACATGGCCAGCTTTACACATTAATAATGTCTATTGGTCCTTTAGGCATTTCAGGTTTTGACTCCCGCTATCTGTAGGGGAACTAGTGACCTTATAAACCAATTTATAGATAACTAGATTGCTTCCAACTTGTAAGTGTTCTTATAGGTGTCTTTTTTTGGACCCATGCAAGGATTTCTCTGGGAAGTATACCCAGGAATGACACTGCGAGGTCCTAGAGTCTATGCGTACTTAATTTCTCTAGGCACTGTCAGATTGGTTTTCAGAATGGCTATACTAGTTCTTACTTACTTCAGTAATGCATGAGAGTTCCTATTTCTCTACATTCTCACTAACTTTCTAACTTTTGCCAATTTGAGGATGTATTTTAGTATCCCATTGTTTTACTCTGCATTTCTCTGATTTTCATTGAGTTCAAGTACCTCACTATTAGTCATCTGGCTTTCAGTTTCTGTGAATTTTCTGTTTACATTTTTTACCAACTTTTCCCTGTTTTTGTTGTTTGGTTTTGAATTTTAGGAGTTCCTTGTATATTCTAGATAGTAGTCCTTTGTTGTTTTTACATTGAAAATATCATCTCTTAATTTTTCTAACTTGTCAACGGAGTTCTTCATTTGCTATACTCTATCTGTTCTAGTATTTGTTAGTTTATTCTATTGTGTTTTCTACACAGATGATCATCTGCACAGTGTTTTATTTCCTCTCATCATTCCAATTTGTACTTCTTTTTATTGTAATATTGATAAAGATCTCTTGTACTATGTTAAACAGTAGCAGTGATAGTAGATAGGCATCCTTGATGTGTTTGGGATCTTAGAGAGAATACCTTTTTCTTTTTTCTTTTTTTTTTTTTTTGCAGTATGCAGGCCTCTCTCACTGTTGTGGCCTCTCCTGTTGCGGAGCACAGGCTCCGGATGCGCAGGCTCAGCGGCCATGGCTCATGGGCCCAGCCGCTCCACGGCATGTGGGATCTTCCCGGACCGGGGCATGAACTCGTGTCCCCTGCATCGGCAGGCGGACTCTCAACCACTGCGCCACCAGGGAAGCCCCTGCCCATTTTTTGATTGTGTTGTTTGGGTTTTTTTGTTTGTTTGTTTTGTTTTGTTTTGTTTGTTACTGAGTTGTATGAGCTCTTTGTGTATTTTGGAAGTTAGCCCTTGTCAGTCTCATCATTTACAAATATTTTCTCCCAGCCCATAGATTGTCTTTTCATTTTATTTATGGTTTCCTTTTCTGTGCAAAGCTTTTAAGTTTGATTAGGTCCCTTTTGTTTATTTTTGCTTTCATTTCTATTGCCTTGGGAGACTGACCTAAGAAAACATTGCTACAATTCATGTCAGAGAATGTTTTGCCTATGTTCTCTTCTAGGAGGTTGAGGATGCTTTTCATGTTACAATCCCAGTTTTGCCCACGTTGACCACGTTTTTTAAAATAAATCCTCCATACACATATACACACATCCTGATACTCTTTACCAAGCTCAGCTTTTTCTTTTTCCTTAGTAATTGTCACCTTCTAATATACTGTATGATTTATATCTATTTATTTATTATATTATTTACCATGTGTCTCCTGCCAATAGATGTAAATTCCATGAACGCAGGGATCTTTGTTTTGTTCACTGATATATCCTCAGCAAGTGAAAGAATGTTTGGTACCTAGGAGGTAATCAATAAATATTTGCTGAAATGAATGAATTGCTCCCTTAAGTGTGGTGTTTGTTGAAGCTTTTTTTTAAAAATTAATTTATTTTATTTATTTATTTTTGGCTATGTTGGGTCTTCATTGCTGCACGCTGGCTTTCTCTAGTTGTGGTGAGCAGGGGCTACTCTTCGTTGAGGTGCACAGGCTTCTCATTGCTGTGGCCCCTCTTGTTGTGGAGCACGGCCTCTAAGCATGCAGGCTTCAGTAGTTGTGGCTCATGGGCTCAGTAGTTGTGGCTCGCAGGCTCTAGAGCACAGGTTTGGTAGTTGTGGCACACAGGCTTAGTTGCTCTGCGGCATGTGGGATCTTCCCGGACCAGGGTTCAAACCCATGTCCCCTGCATTGACAGGTGGACTCCCAACCACCACACCACCAGGGAAGCCCCTGTTGAAGCTTTTTGATGTGTAGCTTTTATCAAGTAAGAAATTTCACTTTAACCCTTAGTTGAGAGCTTTTAATATCAGCTGTAGAACTTTATCAACTGCTCTTTCTGCACTTACTGAAATAAATGTGATTTTCCCCCTTTAATCCATTAATAAATGATTTATATTTATAGACTTTTCTGTTGTTAAACAATCCTTATGATCCTGGCATAAGCCATTTTTGATCATGATCATTATACACCATTGGCTTTGGAGATCTAATGTTGTATCTAGGATTTTCAAATCTGTTTTGAAAAGTAAAGAGGGCTCCTTATCTGGTTATGGCATCAAGGTTATTCTGGCCTCGTAAAATAAGTTGGAAACTTTCCCTCTTTTTTCAGATTTCTGATACAACTTGTATAACAAGGAATATCTGTTCTCTGAAAGCTTGGTAGAACTTGTAATTTATCTAGGCTTGGGGTATTAGGGGAGGAGGGTGAGGGTAAATCTCTGATTATCTTTTTTTTGTGGTACGCGGGGCTCTCACTGTTGTGACCTCTCCCGTTGTGGAGCACAGGCTCCGGATGCGCAGACTCAGCGGTCATGGCTCACGGGCCCAGCCGCTCCGCAGCATGTGGGATCTTCCCAGACCGGGGCACGAACCCATGTCCCCTGCATCGGCAGGAGGACTCTCAACCACTGCGCCACCAGGGTAGCCCTGATTATCTTTTTAATGTTTTAAATAGTAATTAGTCTATTCAAATTTTCGTGAGTTTTGGCACTTTTGTTTTTTCTAGAAATGCATATTTGTCTAGGTTTTCAAACTTATTACCATATATTTGCTTATAATATTTTATTTTTAAAATCTCTGTGATGAGAATTCCTTGGTGGCACAGGGGTTAAGAATCCGCCTGCCAATGCAGGAGACCCAGGTTTGAACCCTGGTCTGAGAAGATCCCACATGCTGCGAAGCAACTAAGCCTGTGTGCCACAACTACTGAGCCTGTGCTCTAGGGCCCACAAGCCATAACTATTGAGCCCACATGCCACAACTACTGAAGCCCGCGTGCCTAGAGCCTGTGCTCCACAACAAGAGAAGCCACCGCGATGAGAAGCCCACACACTGCAATGATGTGTAGCCCCCGCTCACCACAACTAGAGAAAGCCCACGTGCAGCAATGAAGACCCAATGCAGTCAAAAATAGATAAATAATAAATAAAATCTCTGTGATATCTGTTACTTCCCCTTATTTATTCTATATTTTAAATTTGTATATCTCTCTTTTTAGCTCAGTTGAGCTTGCCAGAGACTTCAGAACCCACTTTTAGTTTTGTTAATCTTTTTTCCTCTCATTCTGTTTTTCATCGATTTCTTCCTTTGTATCTCCTTCTGCCTTCATGATGTACTTTTTCAAACATTTTGAATGCTTAATTTATTTGTTTTCCATCTCTTCTTCTCTCTTATATTTTTAAAATTTATTTTATTCAAGTATAGTTGATTTACAATGTTGTGTTAACTTCTGCCGTACAGCAAAGTGATTCAGTTATATATATGTGTGTGTGTATATATATATATATACATATATATATATATATATATATACATTCTTTTTCATATTCTTTTCCACTATGGTTTATCACAGGGTATTGAATGTAGTTCCCTGTTCTTATCTTTTATTTTTATTTTTTATTTTATTTATTTATTTTTGGCTGCGTTGGGTCTTTGTTGCTGTGTGCAGGCTTTCTCTAGTTGCAGCGAGTAGGGGCTACTCTTTGTTGTGGTGCACAGACTTCTTATTGCCGTGGCTTCTCTTGTTGCAGAGCATGGGCTCTAGGCGCGCAGGCTTCAGTATTTGTGGCTCGCAGGCTCTAGAGCGCAGGCTCAGTAGTTGTGGAGCATGGGCTCAGTTGCTCCCCAGCATGTGGGATCTTCCTGGACCAGGGCTCGAACTCGTGTCCCCTGCATTGGCACGTGGATTCTTAACCACTGCGTCACCAGGGAAGTCCCTCTCTTATTTTTAAATTAATGTATTTGAAGCATAAGTTTCCTTTTAATTGTTATATTCCTCAAATATTGACATTCTTTGTCTTTAATTTTATTATTTTACTTAAATTTATAATTTTATTTTTAACTCAAGTGTTATTTATTAGTGTATCTTTATTTCATAAATATAATTCCTTTTGTTATTGTTTAGGGCTCTCTCTTTTTTTTTAACGAGCTCCAGCAATGATTCAAAGAGTGTCTTCCTTTTCTTACCTTTAAAATTTTTAATATCATATAAATTGAATCTAAGATACTATTGATTATAAGGTGTGACATTATTTTTTGTTCTACTAAGAAAGAAAAATAAGAAGTTAGAATTAAACTATGGCATAATTTCCTATCACTTAGATTTTTTATTTTGTACTTATTGACAGAGCTATTTTAAATGTATTTAGGCATATAGATTTTTTTTTTTTTTTTTTTTTCCTTGCGTTATGCGGGCCTCTCACTGTTGTGGCCTCTCCCATTTGCGGAGCACAGGCTCCGGACGCGCAGGCTCAGCGGCCATGGCTCACGGGCCCAGCCACTCTGCGGCATGTGGGATCTTCCCGAAACGGGGCACGAACCCGCGTCTCCTGCATCGGCAGGCGGACTCTCAAGCACTGCGCCACCAGGGAAGCCCTAGGCATATAGATTTTTATCATATGTTATCCTTTGATAAACATAAAAATGTATATAGTATGTATATTAAATAAGAAGGTTAATTTTTATTTATTTATTTTTGGCTGCGTTGGGTCTTCGTTGCTGTGTGCGGGCTTTCTCTAGTTGCGGCGAGCAGGGGCTACTCTTCATTGCGGTACGCGGGCTTCTCATTGCAGTGGCTTCCCTTGTTGTGGAGCACGGGCTCTAGGTGTGTGGGCTTCAGTAGTTGTGGCTCGTGGGTTTTAGAGCGCAGGCTCAGTAGTTGTGGCCCACAAGTTTAGTTGCTCTGCAGCATGTGGGATCTTCCAGGACCAGGGCTCAAACCCGTGTCCCTTGCATTGGCAGGCAGATTCTTAACCACTGCACTACTAAGGAAGTCCAAGATGGTTAATATTTTTCTAAAACTTCATCAGTGCTACCTGGCTGCAACAATTATAAATTGTTCCTGGTTGTAAGATGTTTCCAAATTTCAAAGATATTAAAATATAAAAGAAGATATAAATCTTAGAATCAATGAAATAAGATATATTTTAATATCAGTGTTGAAAGCTATATGTTTTTTGTAAACCAAGTGGGAGTGAAGTATCTGACATTACATCACGATTTCCTTAATTTCTCTGAGAGATATTTAAATGAGTATTTCTGACTTCAGGAAATTAAAACACTCTCTTTGCATATAAAGTCTCAAAAAAAGAACTTAATCTTTTTAATGGTAGATGCCAGGGCTAATAATTATTGAATGAAAATTGAGTCAACAAATCACACCAATAAAGATTTGTTTTTTCTTCTCTTTTTAAGGCAAAAGCAACAACAATCAAAGAAGCCCTAGCCAGATGGGTGAGTTTTTTAAGTTTCTATTTCTTCTAGAAACCACATAAGGAGAATTTTTGGATAATTATTTAAATATGACCATTCAATACAAGGGATCTTTGTGGTATTGGAACTCTTTAGCTATCTTGACGGTGTTAGTGGATACATGAGCCTACACAGGTGATAAAATTGTATAGAACTTAATACACACATGCAAACACATTCACACTCGTATGTACAAATGAGTACAAATAAAATTGGGAAAATCTGATTAAAATCAGTGGATTGCATCAATATCAATATCCTGGTTGTGATATTATACTATAGTTTTGAAAAATGTTACCATTGGGGGAAACTGGGCAAAGTGTATAAGGGATCTCTCTGTATTATTTTTTATAACTGCACATGAATTTTCAAGTGTCTCAATAAAAATTTCAATTAAAAAAATCTGACTGGGCTTCCCTGGTGGCACAGTGGTTAAGAGTCTGCCTGCTGATGCAGGGGACATGTGTTTGTGCCCCGGTCCGGGAAGATCCCACATGCTGTGGAGCGGCTGCGCCCGTGAGCCATGGCCGCTGAGCCTGCGCGTCCAGAGCCTGTGCTCCACAACAGGAGAGGCCACAACAGTGAGAGGCCCGCGTAGCACAAAAAAAAAAAAAAAAAAATTAAAAGTAGGTCTACCATGTGATCCAGCAGTCCCACTTCTGCATATATATCTGAAGGAAATGAAATCACTATCTCAAAGAGATACCTGTATCCCCATGTTCATTGCAGCATTATTCACAATAGCCAAGACATGAAAACAACCTAAATGCCCATCAATGGATGAATGGATGAAGAAAATGTATATTTGTATACAATGGAATATTATTCAGCCATAAAAAGAAGGAAATCCTGCCATTTGCCACATGGAAGGACCTTGAGTGCGTTATGCTAAATGACATAAGTCAGGTAGCTAAAGACAAATACTGTATGATCTCACTTACATGTGGAATGTGAAAAAGCCGAACTCATAGAAACAGATTAGAATGGTGATGGCCAGAGCTGAGTGGAGGAAATGGGGAGAAGTTGGTCAAAGGGTATAAACTTCCAGTTATAAGATCAATAAGTTCTGGGGATCTAATGTACAGTATATTTAATAATACTGTATTATGTACTTGAAAGTTGCTAAGAGAGTAGATTTTTTTTTTTTTAATAAATTATTTATTTATTTTTGGCTGAGTCGGGTCTTTGTTGCTGCACGCCAGCTTTCTCTAGTTGCAGCCAGCGGGGGCTACTCTTCATTGTGGTGCGCGGGTTTCTCATTGCAGTGGCTTCTCTTGCTGTGGAGCATGGGCTCTAGCAGCGTGGGCTTCAGTAGTTGTGGCATGTGGGCTCAGTAGTTGTGGCTTGTGGGCTCTAGAGCACAGGCTCAGTAGTTGTGGCGCACGGGCTTAGTTGCTCCGCGGCATGTGGGATCTTCCCGGACCAGGGCTTGGACCCATGTCCCCTGCATTGACAGGCAGATTCTTAACCACTGCGCCACCAGGGAAGTCTGAAGAGTAGATTGTAAACGTTCTCAGCACACAAAAAATTTATTATATGAGGTGCTGGATGTGTTAACTAACCTTTTTCTGGTAATCATTTTGCAATGTATACGTGTATCAAAGCATCACATGGTATACCTTAAACATAAACAATGTTATATGTCAGTTATATCTCAATAAATCTGTAAAAAATAGTGATCATTTTGTAATGTATAGAAATATTGAATCACTATGTTGTACACTGGGAATTAACATAGTATTATAGGTCAATTATATTTCAACAAACAAACAAATTCATAGAAAAAGGCATCAGATTTGTGGTAACCAGAGCCAAGGAGTAGGGGTAGGGGGAATTGGATGAAGATGGTCAATAGGTACAAGCTTCCAGTTACAAGGTAAATAAGTACTAGGGATGTAATGTACAGCATGATTAATATAATTAACACTGCTGTATGTTATATATGAAAGTTAAGAGAGTAAATCCTGAGTTCTCATCACAAGGAAAAATTTTTTTCATTTTATTTTGTATCTGTATGAGATGATGGATGTTCACTAAACTTATTGTGATAATCATTTCATGATTTTGTAAGTCAAATTGTTATGCTGTATATATTAAACTTATTCAGTGCTATATATCATTATATCTGGAAAAAATACACAATACATACACAAAATACATTTTTAAAAAGCATATAGTAATATTAGAGAGGAAACTGCATTGTAAAAAATGCATTAAATATAAACAAATATTTTGAATATAACATTCTATAAAGTTTGAACAGTTGTATTTCAGCATTATAGATAGAATTTCCATAGAGTAAAGAGATGGCTCCTCAATTTCTATGCCCAGTGATAACATATTTGACTATGTTATCAGTTGTTTTTTTGTATAATAATGTATCTTTTGCTTTTGTAGCTGGGCTTTAAATAAAAACTCAAGAAACTTGGTGTCTAGGGAAAATAGACAAAAGGGTAGGATAATGAAATATTTGAATTTTTGTTTTAGTGCTTATAAACTTCTTTGTACTCTAATTACATTAAAAAAATTTTTTTCTGCTTAGTTAGTGAAAGATCTGTTTTGTTTAATAAAAAAGTGTGGAGTAGGCTTAGTATTATATTGGATTTCCTTCAATCAGATTTTAGGATTTTATTTTATTTATTTATAATAACAAGTGGTTGGTTTTTTGGTTTGGTTTACAGGTTCCATTTCTAGATTACATTATGGCCATAAATCTTTGACTTTAAGATTATTTGAAGACATTATGCTCATTCTTGCACTCATTAACACAACATTTATTAAGGATCTACTTGGTGTCAGTCTCCCATCTCCTAACCTATAAATGTATGGCACAAAAAAAATACTGAGTGAATGTGTATTAGATCTCTTTCAACTGATTATATATTTTCTGTTATTGATGTGTTATGATTTGATTTTTTAAAAACAAGCTTCTTTTGTGTCTAATATCAGGTTATAGAAAATATAGGAAAGCAAGAAAATGGTCCCTGAGCTGTAGGATCTTCTTGTTTTCTTGGAGAGATAGAGCTAACTCTAAGTGTTGAGGTACTTAGAAACTATTATTAGGCAGCATATCCTGGTAATTAAAATTTAAACTGCGTACTTAGTACTGAAATTAAACTCTAAGGTAGAATTTAGTAGTAAATTATTGTAGAGCAAATAAATTTGACCTCAGCTTTGTCATAAAGAGAAAATCTTCCCAAATTCTTGGTATTTGGTGGTTCTAGCTCTGACTAAATTGTATATAGGAACAGAAAGATGAGATGACAGAAAGAGTTGATCTTATAGGTCTGAATCTGATACTTAGAAAAAGTTTGTTTAGGGACAAGGAATTCTTCCCAGGAAAATGTTCTTGTTGTTGTGTTTTGTTTATTAATTGATAGGCTCTAAAAGGATTTTTTAAATTATGGAAATAAAAGTTATTTTCTTTCCTCCTCTTTTCCATTTGGTTGAGACCTAACAGTGAACTATCTGAATCAGCCATGTATAAGGCTAGTTATCAAGTTCAGTAAGTAAATGTTGTCAATAAGTAAACTGTCAGGAATGTACAGAATTATTGAATTTTAATAATTGTTTTGAAATAAACATTGAAAAGCCTTGAGAAATTTTGGCCTTTTTTAGTTCCACATTTGGATTATTTTCTTCCAAATTAATTTTTAACATAGGAAGAGAAAACCAGTCAGAAGCCATCCGAAGCCAGAGAGATAAAGCTGTATGCCCAGATTCCCCCTATAGAGAAGATGGATGCGTCCTTGTCCACGCTTTTTAATTGCGAGTAAGTTCTCTTGCCTTTTTTCGTCCTTTCTAGTATTGCTGTTAAGTTTCACTTCCTTTTCTAAATACACAAACTAGAAAAATATATTTATTTTCTTGATCTTCATTTCCCTTCCTTGCTTCCTTCCTTCCTTCCTTCCTTCCTTCTTTCCTCCCTCCCTCCCTCCCTCCCTCCCTCCCTTCTTTCTTTCTTTTTCTGATTCTCACTTTGGCAAAGCCAAACATAAAAGATTATTGGTTTCTAGGATTATTAATAGAGTAATCCTGAATAATCCTGTACTGTATTTTTTTTTTTTTTTTTGCGGTACTCAGGCCTCTCACTGTTGTGGCCTCTCCCGTTTCAGAGCACAGGCTCTGGACGCGCAGGCTCAGCAGCCATGGCTCACGGGCCCAGCTGCTCCGCGGCCTTTGGGATCCTCCCGGACCAGGTCACGAACCAGTGTCCCCTGCATCAGCAGGCGGACTCTCAACCACTGCGCCACCAGGGAAGCCCCTGTAATTTTTTACAGTATAAGTTTTACAATATGCCTGGAGAATAGAAATTTCCTTGTCTCTTAGGAGAAGCTAAATAACACAATTAAACTATTTCTCTGTCATAAAATCTAGTACTTCCTCTTGTAAGATTACCCACCAAAGTCAATACTATACTTACTCAGAGGCATAGAGATACTGCTTTAAAAAATACTTTTCAAACTATGAAAATATATTGTAAAGCACCTAGAAGGGCTTCCCTGGTGGCGCAGTGGTTAAGAATCTGCCTGCCAATGCAGGGGACACAGATTTGATCCCTGGTCTGGGAAGATCCCACATGCTGCGGAGCAACTAAGCCCATGCACCACAACTACTGAGCCTGTGCTCTAGAACCCACGAGCCACAGCTACTGAAGCCCACGTGCCTAGAGCCTGTGCTCCGCAACAAGAGAAGCCACTGGAATGAGAAGCCCGCACAGCGCAATGAAGAGTAGCCCCCACTCACCACAACTAGAGAAAGTCCGCACACAGCAACGAAGACCCAATGCAGCCAAAAATAAATAAATAAATAAAATTTAAAAAAAAAAAAGAAAGAGGGCTTCCCTGGTGGCGCAGTGGTTGCGAGTCCGCCTGCCGATGCAGGGGACACGGGTTTGTGCCCCGGTCCGGGAAGATCCCACATGCCGCGGAGCGGCTGGGCCCGTGAGCCATGGCCGCTGAGCCTGCGCGTCGGAGCCTGTGCTCCGTTTAAAAGTCATGAGGGACACAAAGTAATTTTAAAAAAACCTAGAAAATATTAAAAGCACAAAGAAAGGGAAATAATATCAACCAAAATTGCACACCTTTTGAGAACCAGTGTTAGCATTTTGTTTTTTATTTTATTTTATTTTTTTTTTAACTTTTTGGCCACACCGCAGGGCATGTGGGATCTTAGTTCCCCGACCAGGGATCAGGGATCTCACCCCTGCCCCCTGCAATGGAAGCGCAGAGTCTTAACCATTGGACTGCCAGGGAAGTCTCAGCATTTTGATATAGAGCCTTCTAATTTTTTTTTCCTAATTGGGATCAAGTTACATTTATTTGTAATCCTATTTATCCAAGGCTTTAAATATCAGATCTATATTTATTCCTTTTAACTTATTTTCTAAATACACACTTTTTAGCAGGGTTCTGTGGCTAATTTGAGGCAATTATACCATGACACCTTGTAACCATGCTCTCAGGCTGCAGTGTCTTGTCAGGGGTGTAGAATGTTACAGAATCACTTGGGGTTTTTCTGATTTCTTCATCCTGTGTTTTTCTAACTGTGGTCCCCTGACTACCTATATAAGAATCTCCTGTGCAGTAGATAAGCCCCACTCCAAATCTGTAGAAACAGAATCTACTGATGAAACTAGGTATCTGTATTTATAATAAGCAATCTGAATGACTCTTAGATGTGTATTTGTGAACTCATGCATGAGACTAATATCTGTCTTTGGAATTAAAGGGAAGAGCAAATGTATTTAGTTATTGTATGCAACTTGTCCTTTGTGATGAGAACACAATGTATTACATAAAAACCCACCTTAGATGTGTTTTTGGCTTCAAAAATCATGATTTCAAAGAGCATTATTTCAAAGTGGTCAAATATCTTTTTATCATAAAGCCATTTCAAAGGCAAGCATTTGAGAAGGTTCTGAACCCCATACCAAAGTACCTTGGAAACTGCTTAGAAAGAGTCACCCTGTTCATATTTTTGCTGACACTCTTTGAGCAGGCTGCCTAAACAACAATTAAAGAATCATTCCTCAACCGTAGTCCCAGATTTTCCAGTCCATTTTTCACTTTAACTGGTTGTTCTTGAGAATGGGGAATGACTAGAAAATGCACAGATTTGACCAGTAATTTACAGTGTACAGTAATTGCTTTTAGTGTTTCAAGCAAAAAAAAAAAAAAAAGAAGAAGAAGAATTCCTCTTCAGGTCAAATCAGAAGGATAACATCACATGTTCTAGAGTCAGTTTTTTGGCGTCTTACATTTGCCTGTGCTACTTTCTGGTTGCATAATATCAGGCAAATTGCTTAACATCTTTGTGCCTCAGTTTCCTCATTTGTAAAATTTGGATAATAATACTTATTTCATAGGATTATTCTGATGGTTAAAATAGTTAATACATGTAAAATACTTAGAACAAAACTAGGTACACATTAAGTGTTCAATAAAATTAGCTTTTGTTATATTCTTTGCATGATATTTACTAAGATATTAAACCTTTTGTTAAGAAAGATTAATAATGTGTAATTATGCTCCCTTTAAAAATTTGTTTTTATACAATTAAAGTATGTATAGGAAAAAAATCAAGAAAAATATATATGAACTATTAAAAGTCATTATCTCTGGGGGAATGTGTGGGGTGGTTAGGATTACACAACTTTTTATTATACACATATCATGGACATTTTCCCAAGTTGGTATATATAGCCCAATATTGTTTGCTTTAGTGGCAGATAGTATTTCATTATCTGTATTTCTCAGCTGATGGGTATTTATAAATTTTTTCCCACTTTTTTGCTATTACAATAATACAGTAAATAATCTAATTCATATATTTTTTGGCATTTGTATTAGTATTTCAATAGGGCATATTCCTAGAAATGAATTACTGGGTCAAAGAATACTTGCATTTAAAAATTTAATAGATAACACCAAATTACCCTCAAAAAGGTTTTTTTGATTTTATACAATAGTGTATATTAACTTTTGTAATCAGGGAAAAAGTATGAAGATTTCAAAATGAAGGAATACATGTCATGTCTGAGAGGGAAAAAAGGATTCAGTGTAAAAGGAAATGTGACTTAAATATCATCTTCTGTGGACACTTGAGGAATAATTTCTGATATACCATTAACATTTTTTCTTATTAATTCAAGTGTTCCTTTTTTTTTTTTTTTAGGAAGCTTTCACTGTCTACAAACTGCATTGAAAAAATTGCAAACCTGAATGGCTTAAGTAAGTGATCCACAGTAACAGATGGTTCTTGGATTTTGTAGTTATTTGGAATAAACATTCCAGAGGCACTATATAATCCTAGAAGCTGGCACCTGTTTTAACCACAGTAATTGTCAGATGTCAGAAAGAATATATAAACCATGTGTCTTATTTAATTGTCCAAAGAAAAGTAGAGATAACATGAAACCAGAACAGTTTAAAGACATTATAAAGTTTTTGTAGTGTTAGAATTGAAATATCTTAAATAGAAAATCAGGTTTTTTATATTTTTTTGTTCACATTTATCTTGTGTTTCAAGATTTAAAGCTAAAGTTAATTTAAAATTTTATTCTTCACCAACCCTGTTTTTCCTGTGCTCCTTGTCTTTGTTAAGGACATCGACACCTTCCCAGTTGCCAAGGCTCCTTGTGCTAGTTGCCTGTGGCTGCAGAAACTTGGTGGCTTAAAACTGCAGAAATGTATTCCCTCACTGTTCTAGAGGCCAGAAGTCTGAAATCAGTTTCACTGGGCCAAAATCAAGAGGGCCACACCTTCTCTAGAGGCTTCAGGGGAGAATTTTTTCCTTACCTTTTCTAGATTCTGATGGCTGCCAGATTCCTTGGCTTGTGACTGTGTCTCTCCAATATCTGCCTTCTCCTCTTCTGTCTCTGTCATATCTTTCTCTGTCACCCTTTTATGAGGATACATGTGATTGTATTTAGGGAACACCTGGGTAATCAAGGATACTCTCCCCATCTTAAGATCCCTAACTTAATCATATCTGCAAAGTACTTTTTCCCCATATATAGTAACATTCACAGGTTCCAGGGATTAGGATATAGGTATCTTTTGGTGAGCCATTATTTAGCGTATCATATTTCCCTTTACTTCCCTCAAGCCCTACATGCAAGTTCATCAGTAAGTCCTGTTAACTCTATTCTTTGAAAGAGCTCTCAAATAATTTGTTGCTTTTCCATTTCCAGGAGCTACAGCTTTCATTTAGACCCTCATCATCTCCCGCTTAGGTCATATTTTTCAAATGTTTTTTACCACTTCCCACAGTAAGAAATACCTTTGAATTAATGACTCAGTATATATATATTCATATGAATACACATATCAAATATAACATATGCATATGAACTGGATTAAAATTTGTAAAACAATAGTTACCCTTGTAGCATAGGTTCCAGTATAAATTTTTTTAGCGTGATTTCATTGTTTTTTAAATGCTTGTCACAACGCACTAATTTGATTTCACATGACCCACAGTTTGAAAAAACACTGCCTTACAACTTCTGTTATAGCCTCCCAATTGATCTCCTTGTCTCCTATCTTTCTGTTCTTCCATTGACCTTCAGCACTGATACCAGAGTTTTCTTTTTAAAAATATTGTTCTCGTTTTCATTCCTCCAGATCAGAGATCTTTAATGCCTCCCCTTTGCCTAGTAAAGACCAGATGCCTTAAGGTTGCATTAGGGTCATCTAAAAGCTTGTGACATCCTCTTCACACCCAAACATATAATTCTTTTTTTGACTTTGTGCACTTGTTAATGCAGTGCTTTTCATTGAGAACAGCCCCTTCCTCTAGCAGGAAAACCCTACAAGAAACAAAATTAAGATTAAGAATGCCAAGTTTAAATGTCATTTAGAGGGAGACCCCTAAAGACTTCTTTAATCTCCATCATCATAATAATTACTCTTTCTTGGGAACATTTATAACAGTCTGCCTTAGATTATATTAATAATTACTTACTTCATATAGTTATTGTAAAGATTAAATGAGTAGTGTGTATAAAGTTCTTAGAATAGTGCCTAGTGCATATAAATGCTCAAGAAATATTAGCTGATATTATAGTTAGTGAGGAATATGTTCTGTCTCTTCAGATAATGAGCTCCTTTAGGGCAAACATCACATCTTATTAATCTATCTTCTATTCCAAATCTCCATCCCCCCCCCCAGTACTGTACTCAGAGTTGCACTCAGTATTTATATAGTGCTGGAGAGGAAGTGTTTACTATTAGAGTTGTGTATAAGATGATTCAGTCTATTCCATTTTTCACTGACTCATTAAACAATTTATGTTTCATTTTATTCCCTATTCTTTGTCTGTATTTGAAATAACTTGCTTAAAGGAGACTAAATTGATAACACATTATTTATCAGTATGGATAACATGCTTTTCTTTCATAAAAACATGACTGTGACAATATGAAAATGAAAATATGAAAAACCTATATAAGGCTGGTAATGGGTTTGAACTCATATTCTCTTTGGTCAATTGGTAGTGACTCTCAGGAAAGTCATATGAAGAAGAGTTCCAAAAATTCAGTGGAAAAGAGTACCTTGATCAATTATTGATGTCTGATGTAGGCATGGAATGAGAGAGAATAGGCATTTGTACCATGTATTTGCTATATTTGATGCATCTCATTTTAGTTCTGCTTATAACAAATGGTATTTCTGCAGTCTATGGAGAGAATACACTTTGTCTGTGACTATGAAGCCAACTGATTCATGCAAAAGATTGAATATATGACGCTAGCTTGCCTCCCACCCCTTTCCTTTCATGAGCACTATAGTCTTACCTACTACGCTGTGATAAGAGGATCTGAAATAAGTAGGTATTCCTATTTAACAGCGGGGTTATAAGGCAGAATAACTCTAACAGCAATATATATTGTTTCAAAACTGTGACTAGAAAACTGTATGACATGACTATGTTAAAAACTGTGACTAAAAAGCTGTACAATGTGAATACTAATACTCTCATATTAAAGATTAGAAAGTAAAGTTTCTTGGTAAAAAAGTATACTCCTTTAATTTACTAAAACTTTAAGATATTGTTTTGATTTCGTCAGGACCTAAGAAGAAAAAAACAGTGTTTTCCTTCTAGTGGTGCTCTCTACTTATGCAACATATAAAATATGGAAAATACATAATTCTGTAATGTTAGAAGAGTTAATCTATTAAGTTTGATATCATAATTTACTTCCCCATACAGAAATAAGATCTCTTTAGACTTTCATTGCCATTTTCATGTGCATTGTTTTAAAAAGGAGTTGTATATATTTAAGTTAGATACTATCTTTAAAAGATTTGTATATATCTGTTGCCGCTAATTTCTGGGATCAGTTCTTATCTTAGTTGACCTAAGTGTATTTTGACATGGATGATTTCTTTTCTCTTTGAAGCAATTTCAATATTGGATTTCTAGGACACTGTACCCTTCTGATTTTCTCCTGCCTTTTTGGCTAATTCTTCCCAGTCTCATGTCCTCAAATTTTAAATGTTGGAGTATCTGGGGACTCAGTTCTTGGATCTCTTCTCTTTTCTGTCTTCACCTACTCCCTAGATTATCTCATCCAGATCATGGCTTTACCATCTACATGCTGATGGCTCCAAAATTTATATCTCTAGTCCATACATCTCCTCTGAACTCCAGATTCACACATTCTGTTGCCCGACATTTCCATTGGATGTCTACTGGACATCTCATACTTAACATGTCCAATACTGAGTCCTGATGTCCTTCCCCAGCCCTAGTTAACCCAACTTCTTGTGTGTCTGTCTCAGATAGCGACAACTGCATTCTTCTAGTTGCTCAGGCCAAACTCCCTGGTAATTTCTTGACTTCTCTCTCACTATATATGCCTGATACACACACACACACACATACATCATTTATTTGTACTTACCATGGATTAGGCCTTGTGCTGAATATTTTAGACAATTATCTCATTTAATCCTTATACTCTTATAAGGTAGATCCTATACTTCCTCGTTTTACATATGAGAAAACTGAGATTCTAAGAGGTTTAGTTACTTCCCTAGAGAGTTAGGATTGGAACTCAGTTATGGATTTGTGCTCTTAACCATTGATTTATGGATGTTATAGAACAGTGCCATCCAAATGAATTATCTGCACTGTACCAATACAGTTGCCACTAGCCTTATGTAGCTATTAAGCTCTTGAAATGTGATTAATGTGACAGAGAAACTGAATTTTTTATCGTATTTAATTTTAATTAAATTAAATAGCCACATGTGGTTAGTAACTACCATACTGGACAGCATAGTTATAGAAGTTTAAGTTGTGAAAATTAAATGTATAACTTACGCATAAGTAATCACAGTAGATTTTTAGGACAAAAGTGAGATTTCCTGTGTTTTACTAGAAATCTTTTATTTTAATTTTGAAAAATAATGTATGTACATGGTTTTATGCAAATAGCTCAGAAGAGGGTACAGTTAAAAATGTCTTCCTCCAGGGACTTCCCTGGTGGTCCAGTGGGTAAGACTCCATGCTCCCAATACAGGGGGCCTGGATTCGATCCCTGGTCAGGGAACTAGATCCCGTATGCATACTGCAGTTAAGAGTTTGCATGCAGCAACTAAGAGTCCTCATGCCACAACTAAGAAGCCCACATGCCTCAACTAAAGATCCCTCATGGGCTTCCCTGGTGGTGCAGTGGTTGAGAGTCCGCCTGCTGATGCAGGGGACATGGGTTCGTGCCCTGGTCCGGGAGGATCCCACATGCCGCAGAGCGGCTGGGCCAGTGAGCCATGGCCGCTGAGCCTGCGCGTCCGGAGCCTGTGCTCCGCAACTGGAGAGGCCACAACAGTGAGAGGCCTGCGAACCGCAAAAAAAAAGATCCCTCATGCCGCAATGAAGATCCCGCATACCGCAACTAAGACCCGTTGCAGCCATAAATAAATAAATAAATAAATATTTAATAAATAAATAAATAAATAACTATAAATAAAAATATCTTCCTCTGACCATAGACTCTCAGTTCCTCCCCCAAACCAACCACTGTTTCTACTTTTCTCTTCCAGAAATAGCCTATAGATATAAAAATAGAAACATTCTTTTAAAAAATAAAAATAGACATTTTTTAACCAATCACAATCTAATTATTTAAAAAAATGAAAGCAAAAGATTTTTAAAATACTGATTCATTTGATTTCACTTCTAATCCTTTGTGGAGCAAGGTGGACCAAATATGTTTTCTATTTTCTAGTGTAAGTCCTCATATTATAAGAGATTTGAAATATATATGCTCCCAAATTTAAAGTTCAAATCTTCTTTACTCTTATTTTATCCTTGTAATATTAAAACCATGCATTTCAAATAGCTAACCATTTAAAATTTAACATTGGCATGATGTGCAATTGTGGTTGTAGTGTTTACCTTAGTGATATGTCTATGTTATTTCTTACTTGATTACCATTTTTATTAATACAGCTTTTTTTATTATATAAGAATATTTATTATATAAATGTATTTTTAATTAAAAATTATTATTATTTTTTAAATTTTTGGCTGCGTTGGGTCTTTGTTTCTGCACACGGGCTTTCTCTAGTTGCAGCGAGCGGGGGCTACTTTTCGCTGCAATGCATGGGCTTCTCATAGTAGCGGCTTCTCTTGCTGTGGAGCACGAACTCTAGGCACAAGCCTTCAGCAGTTGTGGCACGCGGGCTCAGTAGTTGTGGCTTAAGGTCTCTAGAGTGCAGGCTCAGTAGTTGTGGCACATGGGCTTAGTTGCTTTGTGGCATGTGGGATCTTCCTGGACCAGGGCTTGAACCCGTGTCCCCTGCATTGGCTGGTGGATTCTTAACCACTGTGCCACCAGAGAAGTCCCTATATAAATGTATTAAAGCTTTATTATATTAGATTTATAACAATTGTGTAATATGATTCTAATAAACCAAAATGTTTTCTTTCCTCTACAGAAAACTTGAGAATATTGTCTTTAGGAAGAAACAACATAAAGAACTTAAATGGACTGGTAGGTTGTTATTTATTACTTGAAAAAGCATACACTCTTTTTCTTAAGTATGCAAATAATACTTGTCTGTTGCAGAAACTTTACAAAATAGAAAAGCAAATATAAAAATTACCTATAAACCACTGCTAACATTTTGATTGACATCTTTCTTGCCTTTTTTCCCTATCCTTTGATGGGTATGTAGAGAATGAAATCATACCATATATATTGTCTTGCATCTCTTTTTTTTTACTTAGTGTATAAAGATCATTTTTTCCATGTCATTCATTCATTCAGCAAATTCATTCAATATATTTCCTGAATGCCTACTTTTAGCCAGGCACTGTTGTAGGCACTAGAGATACAGCAGGATATAAAATAAAGTCCTTGCTCTCATTGAATTTAAATTATAGTGGAGGGAGACAGACTAGAAAATAACTGTATAATAATACATCAGGTGGTGATGAACGCAGTGAAGAAAAACAAGGCATATATATTCCAAATAGATAATTATTTCCATTAAATTTTACTGTTAAAAATTATCTCTAGTTTCTGCCTGGCCAGAAAATTTTATTTTATTTTATTTATTTATTTTATTTTTTTAACATCTTTATTGTGGTATAATTGCTTTACAATGGTGTGTTAGTTTCTGCTTTATAACAAAGTGAATCAGTTATACGTATACATATGTTCCCATATCTCTTCCCTCTTCGTCTCCCTCCCACCCTCCCTATCCCACCCCTCCAGGCAGTCACAAAGCACCGAGCCGGTATCCCTGTGCCATGCGGCTGCTTCCCACTAGCTATCTACCTTACGTTTGTTAGTATATATATATGTCCATGTCTCTCTCTCACCCTATCACAGCTCACCCTTCCCCCTCCTCATATCCGCAAGTCCGTTCTCCAGTAGTCTGTGTCTTTATTCCTGTTTTACCCCGAGGTTCTTCATAACATTTTTTTTTCTTAAATTCCATATATATGTGTTAGCATACGGTATTTGTCCTCTCTCTGACTTACCAGAAAATTTTAAATTCTAATTTTATATTTTCCTAATTTACATATTTTTCCAAATTTATGTTATCTTCCTATGTGGTTAACGTGCCATCTCTATCTTTGTAGCATTTATATGGATTTTATGGTGATCGTGGAATAAAATATAATTATTGATTTAAGAAAAACAAAAACAAAAACAAGGCATGTAAGAGAACGTAGATTGATGGGAAGTCCTCTCTAAAAGTTAGAATGTAGGCTCTAGAGCTGACCAAGGGACCAGTGCTCCAGACTAGCGAGGGACAGCAAGTGCAGATGTCTTGAAACTGAAGCTCCTTGGTATGCTTGAGTAAGAGCAAGAGTTGAATGAGGGAGAATTGTCCTCAGTGAGGTTGGAGAGGGAGCCAGGAACCAATCCTTATAGGACTTGGTAAGATTTTAGATTTTTTTCCAAGTGGCTTGCAAAGCCATTGGAGGTTTTTTTTTTCTCTTTTTTTTTGCAGTAAGCGGGCCTCTCACTGTTGTGGCCTCTCCCGTTGTGGAGCACAGGCTCCGGACGCGCAGGCTCAGCGGCCATGGCTCACGGGCCCAGCCGCTCTGCGGCATGTGGGATCTTCCCGGACTG